GACGTATTAGTGCAAATAGTTCTCGACACTCCCACGATTTTCATAAAACTTGATCTGCTGAAACCCTTTTAGGTCAATTAAATTTTGTGGAGTATATGTAATTTTTGAGTCAACTTACCAAACGCTGTGTTTTTGCTTTGTTTTTGTTTTTTTTTTTCACTCCAGTCCGTTTACGAGCTGAAACTTCCGTTTCACTATCCATGTCTACAAGTTGACGGCTGTTCGCGAGGAAGAGGCGATGCTCGGAAGACACATGTTTACAGATGTATGTGTACAGCTAAGAGCAGTTGCTACTAGCTGCTCTTAGCTGTACACATACATCTGTGCCATCCTTAGTCAACGGAATCTTCAACGGATCGTCAAGGGAAACAGTTCTTTTCAGTTTAGGTAAAAATCACTGACTCTATAAAATCTCTCTGTTAAGTTTCAGTTTAGGTTTTCTTTTTCGAAAAGTGAGGTTTTTAGTGATGTCACAGACAATTAACCATGTTAAGTTTCCTTTGCGCGCGCAAAGGCTCTTCTAGAGCTGCGATACCAATACTCAGCAACAGAACATCTGTGGGATTGGTAAGCTATTGTGAATAAGGGTCGAGTTGTAGGTTCAGTAGCCCCGTTTAGTCACTTTTTAAAATGTTTCGTGTACAAGAATTGTTAAATCGCACAAGACTGCGAGCAAGCTTTTCACAGCGAACGAGTCCGTGATACGCGAGAGAACTCGCGAGGCAGTTGCAAACTATATTTCTTTTGGCGCTCGCGCGTTGTTTCTTTCAATATGCTTTACAGTCTACACCAGTAGGAACCAATTACTATCGTGTCCTGGCAGCAATTAATTTCCAGAATTTTACAAGAGCGTTAAAAAGGGCCAAAATTAAGTTCCTCAGAAGTTGTGACTTAAAAAAACGCTGCGTAAAAAAGTGATAATGCATTTCTCATTATTGCTTATTTGTTTAATTTATTGTGTCTTGTTTAGAGGCCACTGGATCTTATTATAAGGTGTACCAAGGTTACAAGCAAGTTTTTTTTTCTTAGAATCGCGCGCTAAAGGCCTATCTATTTGGTAGTCATATGACCATCTGTCCGTCCGTTCACCAGTTTGTCCGCGCAACCGGGCAACTAATGTAAAATCTCACACTTTCTAGCTAGCGTGGAAGCCTGCAACCTGCTATTGCACACCCGTCACTATTAATAGCCATTCAATGATACCACAGGGATCGCACACAATCTGTTTGCGTAACCAATGTAGTTTTATTATAAATGTTCTATATTCACAGTTTGCTCCATCTGTAGCGACATATCGCTAAATATGTAAGAGGAACAGTAAAGAGAGCAAACAGTGAACTCAAACGTCTTCAAAATCGCTAAACATAACACTTCATAGGCAAAGAGACAACAATTTACCGTATGTAAGGTAATACGACGTTTATTTAGCATTGATCCTTGCACCTATTTAGCGATACACCGCTACAGATGAAGCAAACGGTAGGTGCAGTACATTTCCAAATCTAAGTCTGATTCTGTGCAAATCTCCCGCACGGGATATTTGTGCACGGAGAACGATCGGCGGTTATTTAGTCATAGTAATAGCTTGTACTGATTAAATCGTTATTGTCATGGTCTCGCATAAGGGAACACTTAAAGCAGTCAACAGAAGAAGATTTCCGAATGTGAGGATGATTCCACTCTGGGATAGTGCGAAAGAAAAATGAAGCTCTGTAAGCGATATTCCTGAAGTAGTGTTGACCTTGGGATTCTCTAGTAGCACGCCAACTCCTGACCAGGATCTGACTCTCAACATCTACAAGGCCGTGGGTAATCTTGTACATCAGGGATAGGCGGCTGACAGCGCTGCGCGCTTCGAGGCTCTGCCATCCGATATCGCATGTCATTTGTTTGACGCTGGATTCTCTTTTGTGGTCGCCTTTTACGAAACGTGCGGCCCTGCGCTGCCATTTCTTTAAGGTTGCCACATCTCCTATTTCGTAGCGATCCCACACAGAGCTGAAGTACTCCTTTTGAGGTCTTACAAGTGTTTTTTTACGCGATCTCTTTAACCTTTGAGGTGCTGTGCTTGAGGAGTCTTCGAAGAATTAAGTTCAAAGTCTTTTGTTGCAATTGTGGTGACACCATTGACGAAGTTAACCGATGCTTAAGCTGGACTCATAAATGACGTCACTAGCAGTTTCCAAGTAACAATAGATAAAAGAAAGACATGGAGTAACCAAGCAATTACGTATCATTTGAAAAACATGTATTAGAGATACCAAATCATCATTTTAAGGATGAAGAGAAAAAACAGTAAAATCAGGATTAAAGCGGACCCCTTGTCAAGGGGACCTTTAACAAGCGCAACCGACGACTGTTTTAAAATATTTGTTTGGAGAAGCAAATATACATTGCCAGGAATTTTCTATTACATGAGGACCGCTAACAGATTCTAGATGACCGTCCCAGTCATATACAATTTTTAAAACTTATTTAACAAATTCCCTGCGATTTTCTGAAGTTTAATTTTTCACATTTCACACCCCAGGTTAGGCCAACCTCGTTCCCAGGAGAAGAGAACCCTGGGAACGAGATTGAGGCTAGGCTATTTTTCGTAGGAAAAGGGAAAACAAAAATTTTGGGATTCAAAAATGTGATGGAGAGGGGAATCACTTTCGTAATGCGTTAAATCGCATCTAGAATTTTCGGGAAAATAATACTGAAGCCCTTGCAATTTGGAAAAGACTCAAGTTCTTCTAGGATAACCGAGCAGGTACAAATTTTATAGCGCCGCTTAGAATGCATTTGTAAAGGTAGCCTAAAAAAGTGTTTTCAATGCATTTGGGGGAAAGCGTCGTTGGGTGAAAGTGTTGGGGAAAGCGGTGGTGTCCGCTCATAAAATTTAACTTCAATTGTCCTTTAAGGATCACTTTTCTCCAAAATTTGTTCCATTTTTTGAAGTCTTGGAAGACAAGACAGGTTTTCGTGAATTTCAACGCTCCCCCGCTCTTTACGTAGAAATTGCCAGTAACCATCGTCAGAGTCAGAGTCATCAGAAGAATAAAGGTGGTTGTCAGGTGTTAACTGAACAGTCCTTTTCAATTCCATCATTACTGCAATAAGGTCCAATGACTTGTAGCGCTTGTTCAGATGCTCCAGGAACGTGCCTAGAACATTCTGTCTTCGCAAGTACACCTGAAGAGTTTCGGGGGCAATTTCTTCTTTTTTCATCATCGTTGACGAGGCATCGATTATCAGTAGCTTCGTGTGTGGAATGAGAGGCAACTTCTCCTTCACACACCCTTCTATCGTTGATATACATTCCTGAAAGTCTTCATTATCGCAACCATACTCATATCTGTTCACAAAAAGTACGACAAAGAGGGTCGATTCTTTACCTGGAAAGCAATACACAGACAAACCTCTCAAAAACTACAACTTTAAGATTGCTTTCACTATTACGAGTTCACTGCCCTGGAGACAAAAGTTAGCTTCTGAAAACCTTCGATGAAATTAAAACAACATCAAGTAATACTAGACATTAGTAATTATAGACATTAAGCCTTATCGATTAAAAAAAAAAAAACCATGGGCGGATTCAGAGGTAGGACCGAGGGGACTGCTCCCACACCCTCTCTTTTTTTTCATACTTTCTAAGTATAGTTAAAGAATTCTCTATATTTAGCTGGCAAGTGTCCCGACCACCCCTTTTGGAGTTCTCTGAATCCTTCCATGAAAGTGGAATTTAAGTTTGACACCTATTTCAATAAAAGAATTATTGAGCATTATCTCTTTGGTGGCAATGTACATCCTCTGGCGAGATCATTATTAGAAGCCAGAAAGGGAACAAAATATCGAAATTTCGGAGACAAATTAGTTCAATTAACGACCTCGTGCACGGTGGGTACCAGTAAACCTCGAACCGCGCATCTTTTCAGGCCTGATTTTTTCGTGTCCCCTTTCGTAATTTCGTTGTAGTTCTTTAAATACACGCAAATCGTAATAAATAGCCCATCACAAATATTTTTCTCTTGAAATTTGTCAGAACTCGTAAAGGCCTTAAATCAACGAAAAAAGACAGCCGATAGGTATTTTTTATGATAAAGCGTGATCTGTTCGTTGCACCAATTAAAAGCAAATTGATGTAGTGTTGACCAGTGTTAGTTTTTTGCCGATCATATGTACAACAAGCGGAGGTAATGGAATGCACCCGAGTGGAGTTACAAGAACCAGAATTCGAGCTTTCGGGGTAAATTTCAGTGAATTTTTAATAAAGGGAAATGAAATGTGGTTCAAGTTAGAGGGTAACTAGAGTTATCCGAGTTCGAGATAATCGAATAAAAATGACCGAAAAGTGGGGTGAAATCCAACGGAAATTCGACTTAGTTCGAGTTAGCGGGGAGTTCGAGTAATCGGGGTTCAGTACTGTTTATTGCTATTCATTGCATTTACTCTCAGGGACCGCCAAAAACAAAAATTCAGAGACAAAATAACAAGGATTTTTTGTCACTGACTATATTAACATGAACCTAGATACCTTTGTCATGTGACTGTTCTATCCAGTTGTCCATTTGGGTTAAAACAGTTATTTTAAACTTCTCAGTCTCTTTCTTCAGTTCTTCCTTCCTCTCTTTTATCTCCTCAGTTATCGAAATCATTTCTTCTCTCGACAGGTCAATTTCCTTTGTCGCCTCCCTTAGTTGTTTTTTCATTACTGCCTCCTCTTCGTAGAACATACTCGACAATTCCTGTAACTCTGGTTGACTAAATGTTTCTCCAGAAAGCTCGTTCAATGCCCACATTGCTCGCCCGCCATGCAAACTGAACGGAAGTTTCTTTTGCAGACACATTTTTAACGTTTGTTCCCTGTCTTGTGCGCTGAGGGTAATGTCATTGGTCGCAAATACTCTATATTTCAAGCCATTCAGTTGCTTACACAAATTCCAGGAAGAATTTGCTGTCAACTCAGTTACATGGTTCTTAATGTTCAATAATTTAAAAAAGTGTCCAAATTTTTCAGAACCATAGTCTTCGCCTTCTTTTCCAGAGCATCTGATAATCAACACTTTCGCTTTCGTGTAAATCTTTGTAGCACGGTTATTGGCACTCGGCAACTTTTCTATTTCTCTCAGTGGAAGAGCAGGTCGAAGTGTTTTAGGTTTTGTTTCTTTGTCCAACAATTCAACAAGGTCGAACAGCTGCAGTGCCTCACAAACATCTTTCAACATCTTGACGGGAGTGTCAGGAAATAACTCTTTAATGTCCGACAATCTTCTAACACGTAATTTCCCAGGATCANTCACTTACATCTTTCAAGCACAGTTTGGAAGTGGAATCTATAAATAAAAGCGAAAGGCAAGTTAACTTTGGATTACTATCATTCAGTAAGAAATGTTTACTTTATAGAGCAGACACTGAGGGTGCGTATCTTTACTATCATTATTCTTTCAAAATATTGGCTCAGATCCTTGGGCTAACAGCTTTGGATGACGTTTGTGATATCCGGAAAATGGCGTCAGTAGTACAGGGTTATCGCCAGAAAAAAGGACGGCAACCGAGAAGCCCTGGACGAGGTTGCGTTGTTTTAGTAGGGCAGTAAAAAATGGCGGAAAATTTTTACGCGTTTTGCAAAGAAGAAATATTCGAACTATTGCGTAAAACTGATAGCAATTGCAAGAACAGTAACAATACAACTCGAAGGATCAGCGGATGACAGCTGTTATTTGAAGAATATCTGCTACACTAAACATCCCTGCATATCCTGAACGAGCCGAGAAACAGGCAATTGTAGACGCGCAGGGCTCGAAGTTAACTTTTTAAGTGCACTTGCAAAGTTTTGCTAGTAAGATTTTTTTCCACTAGCAAACTGGTGAGACCACCAGCAAATTCTTTCCCTATGAAATGTCAATGACCATATCTCATATTTGATGTAATGAAAATGATAGCTCCAAAACCACGAGGAACAACAACAACACGCGAATGCGAATGTGTGGCAGAGAGCCTCGGTGCAATACCGCTGGCAAGTGGCTAACAAAAAACGTGCTCTTCTCAACTCAGCGACCGCTGTTTTATTTGCCTCAGATGTCGTCCGCCCAGTCCTTCTTGCGTTCGAACAGCTTTCCCCAAATGTTTGGGAGACGTGGATGATTCTAACTCGCTAAAGTTTGCTAGTGGATATTTTTCTCACTCGCAGATTACGCATTTTGCGAGTTTGCGAGCGTTAATTGCGAGCCTTGGACGGAAACTTAAAAATGCCTTAGACGTAAACACCACTTCAAGAATTTTCTTCGAAAAAATAGGCGTTTTTTTAAAAACAAAATGAGATTTTTTAAATGTCTAAATTTCTTTGGCACACCCTTTCCGCTGATCAAGAAATTGACGGGCTTATATCTGACGTCATAAGACATACTGTAAATACAGGAACTAAAAAACGGGATTTAATCGTGCTTATTCTCGGAGGGAACTTGACGGGAACTAGCGGTTCCCTTCAACAAAACACCAAGTCTTGCTTTTGTTAACTTCCCTCTTTTTTTCCTTTAACTAGGCTCGTACATTACAACTTTACATTGCAGTATCAAGAATGCACTCTCTCTGAATATCGTTGTCGCACCTTGATTTTATACTGATTACCAAACCCATCTACCTAACTCTAATGCTTACGCAAGTCTTCTGTGATTAGCTAGAAGTGGCTCATCTGCATAAAACCTTCGAGGCGTTCACCTTATCAAAGTAATATTTTCTTTCTCAAATTTCGCTTTTATAGTGCGACTACTGTAACCGTACCCTGCAAGCAGAGGCTACATTTTCGCTGTGTGAGCTGGCGTGCAAAAAGTAGCCTCTGCCGACAACCGTTCA